TCTTTTTCTTTTTCTCCCCTTAAATCCTTAAATTGAGGTTTCCAGAATTCTTATAAAATAGACAAGAAGTAAAATCATTTGGAGCTCAGAGGGTGGTTATAAATGGGGCCAAGTCCAGTTGGAGGCCTGTGGCCAGTGGTGTCCCCCAGGGGTCAGTACTGGGCCTGGTGCTGTTCAATTTGTTCATCAACGACCTGGACGAGGGCATGGAGTGCACCCTGAGCAAGTTTGCAGATGACACCAAGCTGGGTGGAGTGGCCGACACTCCGGAGGGCCATGCTGCCATCCAGAGGGTCCTGGACAGGCTGGTGAGTTGAGCAGAGAGGAACCTCATGAGGTTCAATAAGGATAAGTGCAGGGTCCCGCACCTGGGGAGGAATAACCCCAGGTACCAGCACAGATTAGGGGTTGACCTGCTGGAGAGCAGCTCCACAGAGAGGGACCTGGGAGTCCTGGCTGACACCAAGTTAACCATGAGTCAGCAGTGTGCCCTCGTGGCCAAGAAGGCCAATGGGATCCTGGCCTGCATCAGGAGGAGTGTTGCCAGCAGGTCAAGGGAGGTGATTCTGCCCCTCTACTCAGCTCTGATGAGGCTGTACCTGGAGTACTGTGTKCAGTTCTGGGCTCCYCAGTATAAGAGGGACATGGAKCTTCTKGAGAGGGTCCAGAGAAGACAAACTAAGATGATTAAGGGAATGGAACATCTCTCGTATGAGGAGAGGCTGAGTGAGCTGGGCCTGTTTAGCCTGGAGAAGAGAAGGTTGAGAGAGGATCTGATCAATATGTAAAAATACCTGAGGGGAGCATGTAAAGAGGATGGGGCCAAACTCTTCTCAGCGGTGGCCAGTGTCAGGACAAGGGGCAGTGGATTGCCTGTTGAAACACCAGAAGTTCCATCTCCATGTGAGGAAGAACTTCTTGACAGTGAGAGTGACAGTCCTGGGACAGGCTGCCCAGGGAGGCTGTGGAGTCTCCTTCTCTGGAAGTCTTCCAAACCCGCCTGGATGCCACCCTGTGCCACATGCTGTAGGTGTCCCTRCGTGAGCAGGGAGGTTGGACTAGATGATCTCTGAGGTCCCTTCGAACCTCAACCATTCTGTGATTCTGTGTTTCTGTGATTCCACAGTGAGTTTGTTCATGTAATATTTTATACCTGTTTTCTAAATATTCAGTTTCTGATAGTTCTGCAATTACAGCATTTCTGCAATATGATATTTCACAGTTGAGTAAGTCTGCTGGTGGTTTGCATATGCTGCTGTAAATCGTGCTGTCCTTTGAGTCATATTTTTACTTAAAAAAACTGAGGCACTCAGGAGAACACCTTTTTGACATCAGGTGACATTTACGTGTTCACTTGCACTATAACCACCTTTCTTAACTGTTCTTATATTTGGACTCTTGCAGAACATCTGTACTTGATTGCTAGTTGAAGAAAGCAGGCATCTTCAAAAATGGTCAGAAGTAGTAAAAGAAAGAGGAATTTCAGAGAGCTTTTTCTATGAACCTATTATTTTTGCAAGTGATGCTACTACTGCATTGGAGCAGGGACCATAAAGCAGACAAGCTTCCAGTAACTACAGATAGCTCCCAAGGGGCCATGTCAAGAATTGCTGGCATGTATACCTTGCTTCTAAACAGAGGTCATTTCTATAGGTAGCTAAGACTTGTAGCATGTATAAAATGCAGTGATCACAAAAGTGCTCCATGCATGGAAGTAGAGAGCACTGCTAAAAATGTCACCTGCAAACATCTAAAAATGAGGAAAATATGGATTATTTTCCGTAAGTAATGTATACTGAAAATAACTTTTCAGATATATTCTAMCTTTCATAGAATCATWGAATGCTTAAGGTTGGAAGGGACCTCAGAGGTCATCTAGTCCAACCCCCCTGCTCACGCAGGGTCACCCAGAGCATGTGGCACAGGGCTGCGTCCAAGCGGGTTTTAAAGATCTCCAAAGAAGGAGACTCATTTTATTTTACTGAATAAGAACTAAGCTTTTCTCCACCAACTTAGCTACCAACACTTGCTTCCTCTAACATATACAAACTGCATCTGTACTAGAGACATGAATCTCCAGTAGTTTTATTTCCTTGAATTCTCAAATCCCACATCCATCAGTCACTCAGCAGACCCATGCCTTCATTTCCAGCTCAGTTGTTATTTTTCCAGTGCCCTGTTCAAGATGTTGGCAACACAAGAGATAAACCAAATTGGATGGATCAGTAGATACAGAAGGAGGAGAGCTATAGAACCTTCCAACCTTAAGGATTCTATGATTCTATGATAGAAAATTTAAGCTGAGTCACAGCTGCTGCAATGTAATGTGATTCAAGGTGAAGGAAGTGCTCTGATTTGTTTGATTATCATAATGCAAAGAAACCTTTCTATTGCTTCTCATATATAAAGCTTCCTGAATATTCATAATTTCCTTCCTTTTTGTACCCTAGATAGCAAGACACTAAATAGAAACAGGGTGCATCTTCCACTTTGCTTTTTGATTTATTTTTGTATAAGACCTTTCTCTCTCTCCTGTAATTTCACTGAAGTTCTCTAATAAAAACAGCCTGCACACAGAATTTACAATAACTAATATGCTTCTTGTTGCTGCCAACTTATCAAAGCCACAATGCATGAGTAAAATGACTCTCTATGCTTGCTGCTTGCTCCATTAATTTTCCACCAATCAATTTAATAATCTGCAGCCATAGTATAGAGCCATTATACAGGGAAAGATAAGTGAGAAATGTGCCAAAATAAGCACAGGTTTAGAAGAGAGGGTGGAAATGCGATTTAAACCTTTGAAGAAAGCAGTATTTTACTAGTGGTGACAAGGAGACTAAAAACGGAACTATTACTGTATTTTTCCTTACCACACGTAACTCCACAGTTGACATGCTCAGCAACCTCATTCTGGCCAAGTTTCTAAAGAAAATGATGAAAAAAAAGAAAATAATCAGGGATCTGAAGACATGACTCAACAAAGAGCATGGAAGAAAAGAAAGCAGAATTGTGATTTACTGGAGCAGTCACAAAGGCTTTGGAAGGAGCACATAGCACTGGAGCTGAGCCCCTTGCCTTGATTTCATTCTCTTGTTCTGTCACCTGGTATTACTCACCATGATAGCTATGAGCTACCATGCAGTTATATTGCTGCAGTTATATTGCAGCACTATTATCTATTCAGACATTCAGGATACATCCCATTTGTATTAATGAGAATCATACACACAGGGCTCAGTGTGGGCTGACCCAATATATCCTCACGCCAGCAGTGAACAGTTCGAAAATGGTGCTGGGGAAACACAAAGGAAGGATGGGACTCTATGTGTGATGTCATTAAACAATTGTTAGTTTGATGTCCTGGATGTTCTTTAAGGGCATCTCTCCTCCAGAAATTACAGCCAGGCAGGGTGGCATTGCCCCAGGGAAATTTCAAGTGGCAGAGAGCTCTGTGAATAGAACAATAAACAAGTACCTTATTCAAAGGGTGGAACAGAACARTGCAGATGGACTTGATAGGGAAGAAATGCACTGGATTTGGCATCACCCACTACCATGTGCTCTGATTTTAAACACACTCCTAAAATTTGAAGACTCTGATCTTTGGTGCATGGATGGTTCTTAGGAATTACCAGTGCATGAACCAATGCATATTTCTAGCCCTTGTTAGAAATACAGGATAATAGTAAATCATCTATCCATTGCTGTCCTGTGGGGTTTCATTCCACAGTTAGCTCCAATCTTCTCAGCTTTCTTTATTACTAGTTTATGTTACGTCTCACTCATGCTTAGTCTGGTTCATCTCTGTGTCATGGTCTGTGCACTGCAGGGTAGCCCAGTTGCCCAGTTGTTTCTGTTGTGCTGAAAGTTTTGGCCGTAATTTAGTTTATGCTTGGCCATCAGAGGTTTGTGGTGGCATGACACTGCTTGCTGAGTTTATTTTTCCATTGACCCTCCCTGTCAACAGTAAACCTAAAATAGACTCGTATCCCCCATGGCTTTGCTCTGAAGCTTGCTTGTCAGCTGAGCTGCCACTGATTATTAGGAAGTGCTGCTTGTAAGTGATAAATATAAATCTCAAAGGAATGGTCGGCTTTACCGCTTACTCCTGTGTTCAAACTAAAGTAAGGGTTATTTGTTTTGTTTTTGTTTTTGTATTAAAGAATCACAGGTGCAGAAGTTCAATTTTGAAAGACTCTCAGTAAAATATTTATGGGTCTGTGTATTATAAGATACATACATACATACATTCCTCATACACTCTCCTGGAGAGAAATTTGAGGCCASGTATAAGTTCTGGTCGAGATCCAG